GGAGGAGGAGGAGGAGGAAACATTGAGCCGATTTAATATATCAAATTTTAAACAATTTATATAAATGTATTTTTACTTTTTGTTTGCACATCTGTCAAAGCTCCCTACTTACTAGACTCTAGCTGCTTTTTAAACAATGATGATGAGGAAGAAGAAGATCAATGAGGAGAAGGAGGAGGAGCAGGAAGAGGAGGAGCAGGAGGAGGAGGAGGATGTAGGGTTACTCCCAACAAGTCAATGTAGATAATCCAAGAGTAAGAAGTAAGAATTAAGCACGGCGTAGCGGTGGAGGCAACGTATAGACAAAACCAATGCTTAACAAAAAGCAAAGGTCAGAAAGAGAACCAACCGCATTGAAGCAAAATAACGGGGCTTTTTCAAGAATCGTACTATAATTATGATTTTGAGGCAAACAAACAAACAAACAGAAAGAAAGAAACCTGTTTGATAAGACTATTCTGGTTCAGAATGTTACACATTTCTAAAACAGCACCATTAAAGTATCTATATAACAGGCCGGAACGGGAAATTTTAATTATAGACAAGTTCGAGAGGTCTAGGGAAAGCATAGGTAGAGGGAAAGAGAAGACAAAGGGAAGCGAAAAGGAGAAAGTAAGACCGAGAATTAAATTACTATAGATAAATAAACAAGCAGCTGACAAGGAAACCAATTATAGCGAACAAACTACAGATAAACAGGAAAAAACCCAGAACAGCAACAACAAAAAACACACTTGTGCGCTTTTTAAAAACTTTACGTAGAGATCTAGATATAGTGCGCAGCCTTCATAATTACGAGTATCCAAGGACACTCCAAATTGTTGTCGCTGTTGTTATTGTTGTTGTTGTTGTTGTTATTGTTGCTGTTGTTGTTATCGATCCAGCATCAGCTGGGCTCACCCTTTTCTCCAATGCCACGTTTGCAGGTTTGCTGCAGTGGCTGTAATGTTCCACAGAGTATGTCGTTAATGTTAGGTATCGGAGAGAGAAGGGTAGCTCTGGTGTCATTAAAGACCTATACTACACAGTGACACAATGACCCACTGTCTCATTCAATGTTTTTTGTTTGTTTTTGTAAAGTGTTTTACGGCGCTCGCAACTGCATAAGGTCATATGAGCGCGCGGAACACCTTAAACTTTTCCAGTTGGTAGGAAATTTTGAATTTTGCCCAGGTGGCGGCAGAAGCCTACTCTTATCGATTTTAGACCACCAAGGGATTTTTAACGTGTGCAACTTGCACACGGGCCCTCCGAGATTTTTCGCCCTTGTCCGAGAGGGTGTAGATCTTTCCTACCAGAAGATCAGGGGTGTGGCTGAAAGACTGCAGTAAGAAGAAGCCAAGGAGTAGCAGTAGAAGGGCTGTAGAAAGAATCAGGAGCCCAGAGGAGGGGAGGAAATGAGATGAGGGAGTAAGGGCAGAAAGACGAAAGCAGACGACAGAACATTGCTAGAGAGCAGGAAAGGAGGTGAAAGGAGACAAATTTAGAAAAGAAAAATTTTTCGGTCACTACTCGGATTCGAATCCAGGACCTTTGAATGAGAGGCCAACATCTTAACCTCTAGGCCACGAGAGCCCGACTCATTAAATGTGTAGTTATATATTTTTTTAATGACACGTGGGAAGTTCTGGTTTTATTCTATTTAAGTGAAAGTTGAGCCGTAGTACGTTGTCAGTTCGTAGGCGGAAGATCATGGTCTGTTCTTTTCTCTGAAGGTGGATATTCATTTCGTTTTGATGAAGTCATTATATGTTATGAAAACGGCTCTTTTTGTCTTTCCCGAGACCCATCTGTTCATCCACTCTTGTTTGTTGTTGCTTTTAAGGTTTTGTTGTGCAGTGTTGTGTGAAGTTGGAATGTTGAGCTGTTTCTGTCTAGATCCCCTTTTATAACAAGTGTGTCTGCTCTGTGGTAGGCCTAGACAAATTACTTTGAGAATCTAAACAGACGAATGACAGATCGAGAAAGATCAGTGTAACGTAACTTTTTTAAAAGCATCCGAGCAAAGGAATGACCAGAGAAACGCGATCGGCAATGCCTGTTGCAGATCTGATGATGATGATGATGATGATGATGATGATGATGATGATGATGATGATGATGTGTCTGCTCGGTCTTTTTCAGGTGTGTCTGAGTGTCCGGGCTTCAACTGAGAACATTTTAAAAAAATGTTGGCGTTTCTGATGAGCATTTTTTAAAACTCATATCAAATCAATTATCAGAACGAGCTCAATAATTCTGCTTCATGCCGATGCTACACAATAAAAAAGCACTGTGACTGAATATAAATGACATATTAGGACTCTTGGTTTGGAAAATATAACGGGAAAAAATGTATAATACATCTTTTTTCTATCAAATTATTTCCCTTTTCAAACAATTTCCTCAAATAATCACTAAAGTTCAAAAACACCCTTTCGGATTAAACAGCAGCCTGTATTTGATATTTTGTGCAAATATCGTGAAGATAAAGCAGTAATATTTAGGTGTAAAAAGGCTTGTTTATTGGTAGTAGGAGCCTGGTGCTTGTACTTCCCCCTTATACAGGATGCCCACCACAGCTGGATCGGGCCGATCGACCGACTCGATCGCCTGAAACTGAAAACAAACACGTTTGTTTTTGAGGCGATCGAGTCGGGCGATCGGCCCGATCGGCCGATCCCGTCCGTAGTGGGCACTCCGTATTGAGCTAAAATTGACCGTCTGCATAGACGAAAAGAGCCATGCAGTCCTGCACATCTCTCAACAGGTTGTAAAGATCTCATTGGAACTTCAATCTGGGTAAAAGCATCTCATAATATCTGGCTTTGGTTATGCCTTTAATCGAATGTTAAGCTAAAGATGTGTACCCAGTCATCTGAATAGCTATGTGATCTTAGCGTTAGCGTCACTGGGTCTGAAGATTTTGTGTTTTTGTCAGTTGCAGATGTATTTATGTTGTTGGGTTTTTGTTTCTGTAAAGAAATGTGAGGAGATAGGCTATGTGAGGAGGGATGTTTGGAATAATTTTGATAAAAGCGTGGATATCTATCTATCTATCTATCTATCTATCTATCTATCTATCTATCTATCTATCTATCTATCTATCTATCTATCTTTTACCGAATTTGAAAACCCTGTGTTCCTCATCAACAACTAATCTCTTTCTCTCTCTCTCTCTCTCTCTCTCTCTCTCTCTCTCTCTCTCTCTCTCTCTCTCTCA